TACAGAAACATTGTTGGGGAGGAGTTCATTTTAAATGTGTGTAGATTTGAAGCTGTGTTAGTACATATAACTATAGGTAAATGGAAGTGAGATTTTTTTCTGGAATTCAGAATGAATTTCTAAGCCATTGTCTTGATTTGAGAATTGTGGAAACATTTNCGGACACGGAAAAAGACAAAAGACAAAAAAAAAAAATAATAATAATAATAATAATAATAATAAAATAAAGTACAGCTACTAACAACTAGGAGTCTCAAACTTGCTGTGAGTATATAAAAGCATCTCTTATCTCGAAAGCATCTCCACAGACTTACAACGTGGGGGCATTCACCTAGAATAGATACACAGGGACCAAGCCATTGAGAGGATGGGAAAAAAGCACCAAGGAGCTCACAGGCTTTCCCACACTGAACCAGTGCTGCTGAGCCTTGGTTGTAGGCCATGTCTCAAAGGCCTCTCTACAGTAGTAGGGACTCATATGCACTAATCTTTTTTAAACTTTTCACAAATTTGAGATATAATTCAGGCAGCAAAACAACTCGCCACTTGAAAAGTATACATTTCAGTGGCTTTTAGTACATTCACCATGTTGTATAACCATCACCACTATCTAATTCTAGAACATTTCCCTCACCCCAAAAATAAACCCTGTACCTATTATCACATGCACTGATTTTACACAAACTTTCTCCACAAATTACCTCTGTTGCCCAGGCAGATAGTTTAAGGTGACTGGCTAGGGTGAATCTAGAGTATGAGGGTACTTCAAAAAGTTCATGGAAAAATAGAATTTAAAGATAATACGAATCTTTCTATGAACTTTTTGAACTCCCCTTGTATCTATACAATCAGAAAATAAGAAAGCTACATTGTCCAGAAGGATACTAAATTCAAATTCTTGGCATTTTTAGCAATTAGCCTAATGTAATTTTTGTATATTGGCTAAGAATGGCAGAGAAACTTACATTCAACATCCATCTTCACTTAACACATTAGTGTGCCCCAAATTCATCCAAGATGTTAAAAGAAGGGAAGACAATCAACTACGATTAGCCACAACTGTCCATAGTTGCAATTTCAAAATATAGAAGATGCATATGGATAGTGGGAAAACCTTCTTTAGTATCAAGCATAGCTGGATTAAAAAACAACAACAAAACAAAAAACTTAATCATTAAGCAAATATTGCCCAGTTTGGGAAAATAATCACTAGCCCAATCCACTATTTAAAGTAGTATAGCTTTAAATGAAACCTTACTTTCATCACTCTTCTGACCTTGAGTCTCTCCTAATCAGAAAAATAATCTTTAGGCAAAAGTCTGGTGGGAAAGCCTGCAGATGTGTGTGCCACTCAGGCTCTTGCAGGACTCTAATTACCTAAATGCACTCACGGCTTCTAAGACACACAGGAAGGAGACCTCACCTTCAGGCATCAGGGTGTTGAAAGCGGGAGGAAGTAGGTCCACGAGGGTGTCTTGCTTTTGTGCACTTATCTGGGGTGCTATTTCCAGAGAAGGAGCTCCTTTATAGAGTGTGCCCAAGATGGATTTCTCTAAGTTGCTCTCAGAGTTGTCCAGTTGCCCTCACCAATAAGTCACAGTCTTTGTAGGATGATAGAANTCATCTACCCAGGAAACTTCCCTTGACTCTTTCTAAATTGAATAATGCATCTTTTCTATTTATCTTTTAATTTATTACTTTGGGGGGCAGTTCATTTATTCAAACTGTATGTCAAACTTAGAGGAAATTCATACTTGGGCATTGATAAGTCTGGCAGTTCTCTGATTTATCTACTTAGCATCAGGCATTGAAACTGCTGACAGCAAATATGGTTTTCAGTGATCACAGTAGCAGAGAACTTCACTTGAAGGCATATTAACTTGATGGCATATTAACACTTTTAGTTATAAGTGAGAATTAATGGCTTGTTTGAGTTGCCTGGAAATGCATCTTCATGTGTATCTCTCACAGTCAGGAAATTATGCAAAGTATCTGAAGTAATGAAAGAGATCTGGAATCAATGAACAGTACACAAAAAGTGAGTTTGTGTTACGCACTGCATCATTGCTGTTATTTTAAACATTTGTGCAAGAACATGCAATTGTTTTTCCCATTTGCCTACTTGAAAGGGTGGTATATTAGAATAAAATGTGCAAAATTGGAAAACATAACACTACTCTTACGAATAAATGCCAGGAATCTTATTAGTAAATGTAAAATAAGTAGTCTATATAAGGAAACAAATCTAAAACTAGTCAATAAAATTCAATTTGAAAACATAATTCAATATAAATTTCTCACAATGAAAAGGTTTTAACTCTAAATTATATTAGTAATAATGCCAACTATTAATTAATAAGTAATTATAAGTAATAATGCCAGTTTTTAGTAATGCCAATTATTTGTAATAATGGTGGCATTATTAGTGATAATGCCAGCCATTCCAAATAAGAATTTGTATATATTGTTATCAGATTATGTTATTAGTTCCAGGTATAACCCTTAAACTGAATAAAATGGATATTTGTAGTGTTTTTTCCCAGTAGAATTATACTTTGTTTATTTAAGTAGCTTTATAACATAATTTTTTACTCATTAATTTTTAAATGACTATTGAGCATACATATTATACAATATGAACTGACATGACCCTGACATTAAGCACCTCACAGCCTACTTCAGAGATTGACAGGTGAATAATAATTATTCAATATAATTATTAAAATGTATGCATACTGAAGTAGGAACTTAGGTGTATAATTCTTTTTGGAGAAATATTAAAATAAGTAAAAATTGAAATATTCTTACAATATTTCAGTTGGGAAAAGGCACAGAATACATTCTAGAATAAGATACTTACCATTAAAAAATAAAGGAAAATAATAATAAGAAGAAGGAGGAGGAGACAGAGAAGAAAGAGAGTAGAGAAAGAGAAAGAGTAAGGAGCAATAAGAATGAGGAGAAAAAGAAGAATCACCTTTTAGGAATCATGAGAACCCCAGAATTTCTGCAGTGTGAAATCAAGTGAAGAAAGGGATAAAATCGGGCTTGATTTCAAGGCAAATGTGAGCATAAAGTGATAGCATAATATGCAAAATGTTGAGAGTCACCCCATGAATTATGAGCAGTCAGTAAATACTTTGGAGCCTGGGAGTGTGTGGGAGAGTGTAATAAGAATGAAAGAGACGGTGTTGAGATTGTGAGCAGAAGGGCGAGGACCGTTGTTTGTTCTTCAGAAGTCGTATGCTTGAGTCCTGTGTACTAACTACATTTTCTGGCTTTCTTTGCCTTTCACGTGGCTGTTTAAGCTCTCGCCAATATGATAAGAACAGAAGCAACGTGTGCCACTTTGGGGGTTTCATTTTAAGACTCAGAGTATTCTGTCTTCATGTTATTTCACCCTTTTTTTTTTTGTTGTTGTTGTTGGAAGAAACCAGAAGTGACCAAACAGTCACCATGTGGATAACAAAAGATCTTAGGGAATGATGGTATGGAAAACAGTATGGAGGTCCCTCAAGCAACTACAGATAGAACTACCATAAAATTCAGCAATCCCACTACTGGGCATATACCCAGAGGAAAGGAAATCATTGTGTCAAAGAGAGGTTTATTGCAGCTCCATTTGTCATAGCCAAGAGTTTGAACCAACCTAAATGTCCATTGACAGAAGACGGGGATAAGGAACATGCAGTATGTGTGTGTGTGTGTGTGTGTGTGTGTGTGTATGCATTATGTGTGTATATATACATATTATATATACATATATATAATATGTATATATACACATATATATAATGGAATACTACTCAGCCATAAAAAAACACAGAATGAAATTCTGCCATTTGCAGTAATACGGATGAACTTAGAGAAAATTATAATTGAAATAAGCCAGGAACAGAAAGAGAATATCACATGTCCTCACTATGAAGTGGAAGCAAATAAAGAGAGAGAGAGAGAGAAATAACAATGACAATAACATGTTGAACTTAAAAGAAAAAGAACAGAACTGTGGCTATTAGTGGTGGGAGAGGAGAAGGACAAGGGATTTAGTGAGAAATTGGTTAAGGGTCACAGAGATTGACTGCATTTTGTAAACACGAATATACTAATTATCCTGATTTCATCACCACATATTGTACATAGTATCGATATTCAAATCTGTATCCCACAAATATGTATAATCAATAAAGATTCAATAAAAAATGATGTCAAAAAATAAAGAAAATCTGGAAAAAAAATCAAGCTGACTTGCAGACAAGATCCACATACTTGATGAATTCTTTATCCAAGTCAGTATTTCTCATTGGGTCTCCTGCTTCTTCTAGCTTAGCCCTGTATCCTAACCAACATCGTTTCTTAGCATACTAACATGAAATGAAGAGAGAGATACTCAAAGCCCAAGCTAGAACAGGGAAGTGATTAAATAGATATAAAAGCTAGGAGATACAGTGTGGGAAAAATAGGACAATTTATTCAGGTTCCCTCAGCTCAGGTCTGGTTGGGGGTTGAGCAGCACATTTCTTGTAAACAAGTTGTGTGTGGGTGGAGTTAGTGCCCATGTGCACCCATGTATCTTTTTAGTTTTGTTGCTATTGTGTGTCCTTCAGTTTGTGAAGCAGGGCTGGCCGGCAGAGCTCGAGTCTAAAAATAGAGCATGTTTACTCTGCTCACAGCTGCTCAGTTTTTCTTTGTACTTTGCCAGTAGCAGTTGAGTTTCTGAGTTTCTCCTTTGCACTGCCTAGCTCCTAGACGTGTGTGTGCTGAATAAAGACTATCCCTACCTCAGTCAAGGCTCCAAGGACCTTTTTGTCGGTTACCTAACTCATAGACCTGCATATGAAGGGTTTGTGAATGGGCTTGAGGGGTCTAAGAGCTCCAGACCCCAGCTCTAGCTCTACAAACAGGTAGTAAGAATAATTCCTAGTATTCAATTTTTTCAGAACTGGCAGCACAACTTATTGAATTAAAAGTAAGTCACGTGCATTAGATTTTACAGAAACATTGCTGGGGAGGAGTTCATTTTAAATGTGTGTAGATTTGAAGCTGTGTTAGTACATATAACTATGGGTAAATGGAAGTGAGATTTTATTCTGGAATTCAGAATGAATTTCTAAGCCATTGTCTTGATTTGAGAATTGTGGAAACATTTGTGGCAAATGAATACAAGCATTAATAATTTTGCCTGAGTTCATGTGAACACTGAGAACAAGAAGGAATTCAAGAGAAAATTCTAAACTACTATTTAAGAAGCATTAGAGGAAGGTACATCTCCAACAAGGGGGCTGTCAGAAAATTAGAAGAGGAAGAGAAAAGCTTCATGGAATCCATTGGAAAAGGAAGTTTCTACAGAGGTATTGGTCAACAGCGTGAATGCACCAGAGAGGTAAAAGAACTAAAGACAAAAAAGTAATTACTGAGGAGTTGTAATTTCTAGATAAACTAGGTAAATGCAACAGGAGACTATATCCTGATATCACAAAGGCATTCTTTAAGAGTAGAGAGAAGAAAAGCCCATGTGTCTTTGAGACAGGTGCAAACATGGAAGACGGCCAATCTGAACTGACTGGGAGATTCAAATCTATAGTGCTCGGCACTGATCCAGGGGAGTGAGACTTGGAAATCATATACATGCTGTAATTAGATGTACAGAATTAAGAAAACTAAGCAAAGCTAGGAATGAAAAAAATAGTTAAGTACTTAGTATATATTAACAATTTTATTTTTTACATTCAAAGTCATCATTCTTTAAAACATTCTCATTTTTAATTAATATTAATATATTTGAGGTTTTCTCAAATGTCATCTCAATGAGGCCATTTTAAAATGAACTTAAGAATAATTATGACCTCTAACACTCTTTTCTCCATCCCTCCTTTTTTTTTATTTCCATAGGTCCGAATATAATATAACACACTATGTCTTTATGTATTTATTTTGAATATTGCTTATATGCTGCAAAACAAAAACTAAACTCTGTTAAAATGGAAATTTCCCTTTTTGGTCTTCTCCCTAGAACCACATCTGTTAAACAGTAGATATCCAATAAATATTTGTCTAATAAATGCACAAATTATCCCTTGAATTTTTGCACATCATATCCTCTCATCATAGGGTTCTGCTTCAGGTC